TGAAAAGGGGAAGAGCCAAAGTGCAAACAAGAGGGGGTCCCGTCACTTTGTGATGGATTTTTGCTGGGGTTGGGTTCTAACGCCGACCTAAACTATGTTTTGAACGATAGAGAATACGGTAGCTTTAAAGAGACCGGTCAACCAATCAGACGAGCGCAAACCCCACCTCACACAGTCAGCGTATGGTTTTAAGAGCCGTTCACTACTGTTGGATCAATCACCACAACTTCCTTTTTCGGACGTACTAATCCATACCTATTTAATCGTTCAGTAAGCTCGAAATCGGGAAAAAGAACAGTCTTGGAGATTGAGGAAATTCCCTGCTGACTGCACAATTCGCGTTGAAAAAAAGAGAGGCAAAACGAGGCTTTCTCATCATGAAGTCATCAAATTAACCAAAGGCTCACCCTGAACTGCGAGTTGATAATGTCGCCGATAAGGCCGCCATTCTCAATGTAAGCATCGGCGTATCCGATTTGGATGTTACATGACAGCATTCTGACGTATGGACCACGTGGTCCACGTTCCACAGCCAATTCTACGGTGATCGACATCTGAAAAACACATACATATTCGTGCCCAAACAAAAACCGCGGCGAAATTGCAGAAATGGGTAGGCGAGGCTTGAGACATTTGAAGCTGTCGAAAGCTTTCTTCAGAAATGGAATTTGATGTGAGGCTCTTCCAACCTACTCACATTGATTTCGTGCTTATAAAACTGCTGCTGGGGGGGGGGGGGGGGGGGGGGGGGGGGGGGGGGGGGGGGGGGGGGGGGGGGGGGGGGGGGGGGGGGGGGGGGGGGGTATAATGTATGCTAACGAAGCAGTTCTCGTGAAATAATTGCCTTTACAGACAGATCTATCGTATCTTTCTTACGAAGAATGTGTTTAAAAAGTTCAAAATTATATCCATTTGAGGCGGCTCAGAGGGAAGTTTATTGATCGCGGATGCATGCGACGGAAATAGCAGGCGGATAGAAGAAAGTCACATCACGACGTCGCACTGACCGTTAGTGTACCTAGTTTCGCGCCTTGCGGGAGTGCCATAAAGGCATGGCACGGTAAGCAGCCGAGCTGGGTGCGACGGCGCGACGTCGCGCTGTGCTTTTATGCTACATACCTGGAAACCGGCAATTTTTAATTTTTTCAAATCATGTACTCTCGTAAACAGCTTCGCTAAATGCTAACAAGTTGTAAGCTAATTCAGCATATTATAAAATGTGGACGATTCGTTGCGCGACCGCGCGCGTCAACAATACGCAAAAGCACAGGATGATGCGCACCTGTGATGGGAAAGGATACCCTACAAACGATGGTTGAATGCCAATTTCACTAACTAGGGAGTTTTTTTTCCAGGGTGTGGACCGCTTTTCAAAACGGGTTTCTGCATGGTTAAAGACTCAAGGATGGGCTACAAAATCGAGGTTCATTTTCGCTCAGTGGTCCCGAGACCAGGAGCAAGGAGTAGTAGTGGTAAGGAGGTCCAAGG